CATCCCTGAAAGAGTGACCGCTGGCCTGGAGATGAGTGTAGACCAGGCCAGTGGTCACTCTTTCAGGGATGAAGATGTTCACATCCTGGACAGAGAGGAACGATGGTTTGAGAGAGGAGTAAAGGAGGCCATCTTTGTGAAAAGAAATCGTCCATCATTAAACAGGGGCGGAGCCTCCAGGTTCAATTGTCCCCCTCTTACAATGCTGTGATTGCTAGTATCACTCAGCCCTCTGTGAACAGTAAACAGCCATCAGGTGCTAATGAGCCATTGTTAGGCTGATGGTCCTTCTTGAGCATGTGATCAGTTGGTTTTGGTTGTCAGCAGCAAAACTGGTTGATCCACTCTGAGAAGGTGCTATTTAAGAGACTGAGCTGAATACAGCACCTCACACTGAGGAAGTCCTCAGGATGAGAGACGAAACGTTTCTTTTTGCTTTGTTTTGTTTTTGTTTTGTTTTTTTAACGTCCAGAGGACCAGATTGAACTTTTTTGGATTTTTCTACCTGGATTATTGAGCATGCATCAGGAAACCCCAAATTTGTTAGTTTTTTTTTAAACATTGCATTGTTTAGTTTTTAATTCTTACCAAGGCAGTCTGCCTGGTGGGCGAAGGTTCCCTCGGGGCAGCGGCTCAGACACTTGCCTTTGTACAAGTTGAAGGCCGGTTTGCACTTGGTGCAGAAGTCCCGGCTGAAACAGTGCTCGCAGTCTGCAGAGCGGCACTCTGAGCGGGAGACACACACAACATCCTTTTACACACCAGAAGCATTCATTTGGACCAGAATATCTTTGATCCGCTGATCAGTTTGACCATCATTGATCAACTCGTTAAAACCTTCAACGTTTTTCAGTGAAACCGAGTCAAAACGCTGAAGAGAAAAAACAGGAAGTTGATTAGAGTTGACCAGATTTTGACACATTAATAAGATATTTCAGAAAAAATATGTCAGGCCATTGAAAGGACAATGAGGCTCAGTTATACGTGTGTAATTGTACATATATTGGTAGTGAACGGTTACAGGTCAGATTTGACAGTACAAGAAACCAGAGCAGCAACTCTGGAAATCAGGGAAAACCTGGAAACAGGGAAACTCTACGTTGAACTCTGATCTTCTGAAGATCATTCTGAGATTTTAACATGTACAAGTATTAATGCGTAGTACCACACCGAGTCCATGCTCTGCAGAATGTATCCTCACTGGCTGGCCGGGGGCTTTATACAATACAAGAAACAAAGAGGAATGATGTGCGACTCTATAGAGTGTTTCATGTAACTGAAATATCTTGAATTTCAGGATTTACTCAGGGGAAAAATCAGGGAATTTAGTTTTCCTGAAACGTTGGGAACCCTGCAGTGGCACAGGGGATCACCACTCCCATTGAGAAGCGGGTGCACATGTAATAGCTCGTGGCTAACTGCACAATACTCTGCATCAAAGCAAAGCGAGCTCCAAGAGATGCCTGTTTGAAATCCCATGTGTGGACGAGGTTAGCTGTTCTGCTGAGCACGGTGTTTGTTTTTTATTTATTTACAGGGCTTTCTCTGTTGCAGGTCCACGACTGTGGAATGAGTTGCCACTGAGTGTCC